GACATCCGGCTGTCTGTGAAGGGTCGAGTATATGCTGCAGCAGTTCGGCCGGTGCAGAGACTTGGCCATTACGGGAACAGGATAAGAATAGATTGTCGGTGTTTGAACACCGCTGTCTACGTCACATTGCATGAATCTGGTGGGGCAGCCGAACGAGCACTGCTAAGGTTAGGCGTAAAGTTTTATGCAGTCGTGGTCGTCCACTGAAGCAAGTGGTTGTTGGAAAAAGATCAAGGGTGGTCAAACTAAGATCTGGCATGAGGGTATGCAAACCTTAACCAGGACCCTAGGTCACGTGGGTCCCTTTAGGCTCCCTGGCTGGGGACCTTGGGATGATGGTCACCGATGGTTAGATACATTGATTGATATGGCTGGATCTCGCAAACAGTGGCGTTCATGCATCTTGTCAATTTCTCTTCAACATTAATCCACGGAAATTCTAATTTTTTCTTTGATCCTGCTTTCAACGTTTCCTGTCTTTCTCCTACTTCTCATCGAAATGGGCGGCCCAAAGACAGCAACCAAATCCGGCGCACGAAGGTGCATAATTAATGGTTGTATAAACTGGAACTGAAACTGACCTCGATTGAAAAAATGCATACGGATTGATAACGAAGCTTCCGGAATCCGATTAATATGTTGATCGAGCGACCGTATATCAGCCCATGAGATGGGTCTCGCATTGCTGTTTAGATAAAAAAGACCGGTTGCTTCACGTGGAAATCGTACACAATTTTCTGTTTCACAACTGTTATCTTCTCTTCTTGAATAAGGAATGGGGATGCTATAAAGAAATGCTCTCAAGGTCTAGAAGGTGTCTAGTTCAGGTAGCCTCATCGTATCACATTGCATGGCGTGTTCATATTTGGTAATACCCACGCAACGAATTGCACTTGGGGCTTTCCGGGCTTGGGTGGCAGATAAACTATGAAGTTCCGGTCATGTCTTGGCACATAGCGATCTCAACTGCCAGATTTTCATATGGACAGAGTCTAAACGTGCGATCTGTAAATATCTGTTTACCCTATTTTTATGTCTGTGTAATTTCCTTCTAATGAAATTGGTTTATTCTCGTTGTTTTATTGCTTTAACAAGGCGCATAGTTTTCTTCGTTCTAGATGTCTCTATTTCGAATTATATGCTGTTCTTTTCACTCTAGTCTGGGTACTCGTCTGAGCAATTTTCTCTGATGCAGTTATTGGTATTTCCCCGCGACGACGGTGATTAAGTGGTTGAGGTTACTAGAAGTTCGGTTGATCTTTCATCTTCCTCTGTTTTTCTCCCCAGATAGTCTTTGACTAGTCGTAACCCTGAAAGTTGACTGTATAATTCTATGTTCACTCACTATAAATGGATTAAGAAGACTGATTGTGTCGCATTAGTTTCACTAAGAATATAGCCATGCGATCAGGTTTTTGACCGTCAGATGTGTAGCTTCTTCTTCTAGCTTCTAACCTCTTCTATGTCAACTGTTGCACACTGTAGGTTTTGTAGATGAACTATCCCGGTTAGCTCGTCAAGGATCTCCAGCTGCGACCACTGTTTTGACTGTATGTCCGGATGCAGGTGCTTGGTTCACATTTCTCAGCTGCTT